TGGGATTCCTCAGCATTTTATATAATCACTGTAGTATTGAATTGAAATACGAGAATTTCAATATTTTCTAATGTTAAATTTATAAAATTACCCTCTAACTGACAATTACAAATTTTATTGGATATAACAAACAGTTGACCTGAAGAAAACATAACCGTATATCTTTTTCTTTCTTTCTTTTTTTCAAAACTTTTCACGTGCATATTGGAAAAGCACATATATTGTTTTTATTTAGTGAAATGTTCTAAATTGGTTCAATAAATGTGACGAAAAGTAATCTGATATTTCAAGTTAATATTGAATTACACAAAGTGTTACAATTAAAACATATCACTAATATGATCTTATTATTCACTTTAATGGTGGTTAATCAATACATTCGTACTATTTTACCCATACTTGTGTGAGAGAGAAAAAAACCTATCTTTATCACTATCACATCAGATGAATCGATGTAATAAAATATTACTGATATATATTGTTATAGAGTTCTAGAACTAAAGAGAATTGCACGCTTCACTATACTTGATATTCTGTAGTGGTACATTCAATTTTAATAATTTCTTCTGTAAGGTAGTTTACTTAAGTTGAGCCAATTAAGTATGTATATTCATTTGCTAAGCCACGACTTAGTAATTAAAATAGTTTTCAACTAATATGTTGTAAACCTAGTCTTTGTATCACTGTTTTGAGTTTCGAAATCCGGATGACATCACTAGTTTTCCACAAAAACAAAAATTTTTTTTTCTATCCTTCTGGGCCTTTTTTTGTTATCAGTTTATGAACGAAATATAAGTTTATGATTATTATTCACCGATTTATTGCATGGAGTCAATGTACATGTCGTTGGTAACTATTCTAACATGAAGATTCATATTCATTCATCACTATATATGGATAAGACGAAAATTTCTCATATTCATTACGAAGTTATTGGCTTCTATCAACTTAGTTCTCCAAAACTTAAAAAACAAACTCACTTTTACTCTGGTTATATGGTGATTTTTTAAAATTATCAACATGGTACTACATATAACTTATTTAAATACAAGTTGACCTGATTATTTCTTTGTGTAATTGTTAGTCATAAAAACTAATGATCATTTAGATTTTCCATCTTCAACTCATCACTAACCACTTGTAGTTATTTCTATTCTTTACTCTATATTCAAAATATAAGTAATAAATCTTAAAATATTACGTAATATTTAATCAGTTGTTCAGGCGTGTAGTTAAAAACCGTAGTAAAATGTAATTTTATATGAATTAATATATTTTCCTCAATTATTACAGAAGACCTTTACAGACATTGATATTTCGATGACTTTAGATTGAGTTAAAAAATTTTATGAGTGAAATAATTATATTTTATTGAACGATTTGGTATAACTGACTCAATCGATCAATAATGGGAAATCAAAACCATTGAATTCTGACTAAGTACGTGAATTGTATCATGGTGATCAAGATACTAGAAGGTTCTTCTTTTAGTTCATGTCGAAATTGTGAGTGCTCACTGTTAAAAAGTTAATGTAATTTAAGGACTAGAATATATACAGGTCAATCTTCTTCATAAGGTAATGAAAACAGTAATTGATGTTAGTGAAGAATCAGCATTTTGCATACCCTCTGATCCTTTGATAAATTTAAACAAAGCAAGAATAACAAGATTATCGAGGAAAATCACGATTTCATTATATTTCACAGCTTTATATCGGCTGTAAATGGCGGACTTAAATTACAAGTTATATCATTTATATTACTAGAATCAGTTTTACACAATTTAGCCAATGGCGTTTAGTTAGAAAGTCACAAAGAAAAACATATGTAACAACATATTTAACATAACAGTCAAGTTTCATTGAGATAGTAGTGAAATTATTTTTCTATATCAAAGATAAAGCGATTGAGTAAATAACAAGCTTTATAACAACATAATAATTTTAACATGGTAACGAGAGGTTTACCACACTTCCCCTTTATATCCAAAGGTCAAGCCGTAATTCCATTGACATTGACTCATGACATGAAATTACAATGTTATTCTTATATTAACTGGCTGATTTAACTAACACTCATTTGTTACAAACTTTTCTTATTTTATTATTATTATTTGTGACATCAGCCAATTCTTTACACGACTTCATGTTCAACTATTAATCAGTTTTCATGATTATGTTAAATATGTTGTTACTTATGTTTTTCTCAATGACATTTCTAACTAAACGTTATTGATTAAGGTGTGTAAAATTGTATTTCCAATATTATAACTAATGTAACTAGTAGTATAACTAGCTCATTTACAGCTGATGTGAAACTTAAAAATACTAAATACTTTAAAATCCAATCATAATGTAAGAGAATGTTAAATCAATTGAAGTCATATATAATGCATGTTGTTTTTTAGGTAGGAATGAACTGAAGGTCAATAATTCTGGGAATCTTTGATATTTATTTTACTATTTACGATGTATAATTAGCTTTATAACACAGAATTTACGTCTGAATTAATGAGTTACCAAACTTCTCACCTTTCAGAGGTTACTTATCCTTACTTCTTTCAGGTCACTTCTTTGAGATTCAATCTGTTTGAGTTTCATGTATATCTTTGGAATGTTGGAAATTTAAACATTATTTTATGCAAAATAGCTTTTATTAAATAAATTATTTATAATAAATCCATTCTACCTACCGTATTTAATTTATGAATTCATAAGGTTGAATTAAGCATATTAGTTGAATAGCATCAATCAACCCAAATTGATCATTTGAACAACTTGTTTTAAATAAAAGATTAATAATTAATGATTACGTAATTTCATTTTTCAATACATATATCATTAGTACTCGTTGTATTTATGTAATAAATAAAGCCAATTACTATATTAGGTGAACATTGAACATTTTGTCAATATAGTAAGTTTGAAACATTTCACAAAATAAATAAACTACTGCCGTTTTTCACGTATATTTTTAATTGTTTGAACTAAATTTAATTTGCATGGAGAATGAAGCTTACATTTACCAATATTATGTTTTATATGATATTCAGATTTTTACATGTTGAACAATGTTATTAAACTCTATTAGCCCAATCGACATTTATGGACTGTAGAACAGGTATACAATATTGTTGTTTATTATTTGAACACATAGATATTGGTACAAGGAGGCACCAAATACATATGCGCCACACAAATCTCATTTGATTTGTGTAAGGGCTGCGATACTGCCCGGGTGTTCAAACCGAAGCAGGTGGTTTTCTTAGGGGGCTACATCTACAGCCTTCTATCTGAAGGTCTAATCCACAAAGCAGTGGAGCATCGTGAGGAGATGCAGTCCCATGGTAGCCGGTGATCAACGATTGGTTCATACGCCATTTGTTCCCTCAGAATACTAGAGCCCATGTGCACCGTTTATTTGGAATCAGGGTTTCCCAACTCCCCTAGGCGGACTCTTCGTGTCCATCGACCCGGTTGAAGCGTGGGGTACTCGCTCTTTGTCCTCTCAAGTTCGTAAACAACACCCCTGCCATGAGAAGGCAGTGAGTAGAACTTCCCTGGTAGAGGCTATATACTCGTGGTCATGTGAGAGCATTTCGAGAGGAAGAGCGAACTCTCCCCACTCTCTGCCATACCAGGGCATATGGGGGAAGCAGTTAGGATTCCTGGATTTCACTCAGGCAGCCCGGGTTCGACTCCCGGTGCGGAGGAGTTTGCCCCCGAATGCCCTGGTACAGTATACAATCAAAACTTATATGCTATTAAAATATTATACACTATTAAATAGAATAATGAGTAATGCAAGCTCTTAGTTAGGACATTAATTCAATGAATAAACAACAAGATTTACAAATCCATCGTATAGTTTTATCTCTATTCTAAAAGAAGATTCTTCTATGACTGTGGTTTTGTCAAAACTATTTTTTGATTAACATGAAAGAAACATAAACAATATAACAGTATTATATATATATATATATATATATATATATATATATATATATACATATATATATTGTTGCTACATTCCAATGAGTAGAAAACTTATATATCCGACGTTTCGTGACTTAATGTAAGCCACTTCTTCACAGTAAATAAATAACCGAATCCAATTAATACAAGTTTAGATAGTACAAAAGAAACAATATAGAAACAGTTTATCTATTGAATTAATCAACTAATTGAATTATTAACATACTGATCATAAAAAATATTACACGTAAGCAGTGGATAACACTTATTTCTCAATTATTATTTTTCTTTCGTTTTATGATAACCACATATACTGTCCAGTTTGATTAGTCATCTCTTTCAGTATATTGATATTAGTCGAAATATATGTTTACGTGTACTGTCTCAATTGTTGTTTACTTTTTAATTTGTTGCTTTACCTTTGCCGAAATAATAGGTAGAACTATATTTTTTCTTAGTATAACATTTATTTGAATTACAGTCTTACTAATGTTGCGCCTATCGTTGATGATGTTATTTGTATATTCTAATTTGAAGTCATTTATGTGTTTGCTTATTTATTAAGTATCAATCACAGCTTGATATATATATATATATATATATATATATATATATATATATATGTATATATATAGGAGTGTTGAAAATTCAGAATAACTAGTAGATTCATTGCTTTCCCCTTTTCTTCCTCTCTTCCCAGTACGCAATATGTTCACGTGAATGCTTCATTCTGTAAAAATTCGTCAATGTGTAGGGGTGCTCGCAAAACCTAGATAAATAAACAAATAAATATAAACACATACGTGTATTAATCTCTCTTCTTCATTTGAATTGTCCTCGATTCTGTCTTTTACTACACATTCTTTACTTACAGTAATAACAGTTGTAATTATTGTTATATTAAGTTCGATTTTTATTTCTGTTACACACTAATTAAACGTTTCTTTTGGTTTTACTTCATATGCTGACCGTCCCTGGATTGTTCGTCCGTTTACAGTTTCCTTCTTTTATTTTCTCATATTTTAGGAAAATGTTTATTGGTGGCCTCAGTCCTACTACAACATCTGGTAAGTTGAGTCTTCCTACAACTAATACCGGATATCTATTATGTATGTATTTGTATTTATTTGTGGTGTAAAAGTATCTGGTTCTTCTCTTCTCCATTTTCCCTTTATTTGTCAAACCAGAATTTTTTTGTGGTTCTCACATCTTTTTGCCGTTATTGTCATTGTTGAAGGAATCGCAGTGACAATCAATGCTTCCTTGTTTTTTATATCTTATGTTCCTTCGCGTGCGTATTTATATTCTCATCAGCATAATGTCATAACAAACCAAGGTAAATAAAAAAACTACATACATTTGTTGCAAAGTAATCTGTTTTTAAATGTATGGATCTACACTGTAGTTTTCTTTAAACCTTAGATGTGAATCTTACATAGGCTGCAAAAAGGAGTGGGATTTAGCGAAAATATTCATCTATGAAATATTAGTAATGAAATCAGTATTCTGATGAATTTAAGTTAATTCTGATATGAAGCAAAAATATAGCTTGAAATAAACAACTTTAGTCTCTAGATCTCAAATTAATGAAAACTTTTAATCCATCACTTAATATATAAGTGTAAGACCTTTGTTTTTTTATGAATTTATAACAACTAAAGAGTGATAAATGTCGGTCTGGAAATTATCCATCCTCTTAGGAAGAATTATACTGATTCAGTTTCAGTGTTAAGAGAACGAATATCTCGCAAATATGAACAAGAATAAAGTGTTTTTTTAAGTTCATAAATAAAATATTTATAACTGTACATTTTGAAAATATACTTTCACTTCACATGTAAAAACACACTGATAATAGTAATCCATCAGTATCTTCTGTTGTGTACATTAATGTTGATCGTTTTCAGGTTACTTAGTGCAATTTTGATCTCATTCTTTATCTTCATCCAAATCTTCAGTTAAATGTCATTCCTAATTCCTCTATCCTCTCTGTTTCATTTGAGCCATGTCTTTTATGAGTTCAATTCGATAGCAGCTGAATTTAATTGATTCTCCTTACTTCTTATCTTGTTTGTTTTATTTGTCACTTTGAGAATGTAAGATTGAACAGCTTTGAACCAATACAAATTGGTCTAAAGATCTACAGTTGTATTGATTAACTGATTGATTAAAAGAAGAGTTTCAAATAGCGAATTTCTACATTATTTTACTATTGCTTTCATAAAAGCTGGTAGAATAAAGAGTTCTAGTTATTTATTGATTCTAAAACCTACAGTAACTGAAATTATAGTCATCTATTTGCAGTTACCTGACAAAGTATTATTCCTCTAAGAAAAATAAAAAAAAAATAACTTTTATGTGATAACCATTTTGACTTTTAGGGATTCTCAGTCACTATTATTCTTACTTTTATATGGTTAATATGTTTTATGAATATTGAACATGGTTTTATGAAACGTTTGTACAAATGTCATAGTAAGCACTTAGTAAGCAATCACCAGTTAATAATAATATTAGTAATAATATCTTATGCGTTTTTGATAGCCGACCGATCACTTTCTATGAAGAAATGAATATTAGGGGAGTTACCAATAAATAACAGGATACATACAATGAGCTATTATTATCATTAGTATTACTGCAGAAAGTATCAAACTACTGTAAAATCTGATTAGCTATGATAAAGACGAATGAATTAGAATGGGTAATGTTGATTGACTTTTATAATAATAATATTTTAGGGTTTATATGGAGACTGTTAAATATTCGTAGTTTACATTATTGACTAGTTTTAGTTAAGCTACAGCTAAACATCAGGATGCACCAGACATCTTTTTCATTCTAGTATAGGATACTTCAGAAATAAGAAACCATAACATTACTAAGGATCGAACCCATCAACTTTAGTAGTAATAATCTTCATTTTTGTTTTCTTGCCTTAATATTTTTTCACAGTTATTGTATTTCAGTCGGTTACCTGGTTGTTATTATTGATTTTATTATCTTGTCTATAGTGTCATAAGATGCAAGATATTGTTCATACTCAGGATTTTGCATCTCTAAACGGGAACATATATAGAATATGTGAATTATTTAGTAGTTGAAATCGATATAAACATGTAATAATGAGATCATAATTTGCACCATAAGTGTCCACTGGTAAGCTTCATCAAAGGTATCGTCATGAAATTAGCTTTTTCAGTCTGAGATTAGTGATTCTACCCTTTTCTGATGATCGATCTGGATCAAACAAATGATACGGTTCTATTTTACGATGTTGAGTTGGCATATAATCTCTTAACGTTTTACAGCAGAATAATTAAAATAAAAAATTATTATGTATTTGTCAATTTCAAAAAGATTTTATGCTCACCTCTAACACAGAAGTTGAAATGATCAAAATGGTCAATTATTTAAATTTCTGATTTGGGTCATATACATCCTGACAGAGGTTTAGAAGAAACACTTAGTAACCGATTCTACCGATGTTCACGAGAAAATATTAAGTTACCTATCAGACGGCAGATTTATTGCAAATCAGTTCACATCTGCAGTTGTTGGGCGGAAGATGACACGAGACATGTTTTATGAGTTGGAACCATCAAGTAAACAGACTAAATAGGAAAGGTCATTCGAGTAAACATAATATGGGCTAGATTAATCAGTTGAAAAATTACCCCAAACAGCTGACAGGGACATTACATAAGTCCTAAGAAGTAAGTATTATTGCCATGAATTCGGTAGTAATAATTTACATAGCGGAATTCCTTTGGCATTATTAACCAGTGTTTAAGGACTCACAGCCGATCTGATCAGTTTTGAACTATTCTTCTTTCGAAGATTAAATATCTAATTACTCTTCATTTATCTTTCTTTTCTTATTCATATCCATTTTATTTCCAATAATAATTTTCTCAATTCTTCCAAAAAGTGACACTCTCTAAAATCAATGGGCCTTTGTACAAGTTTCAACATAAATGGGTTTCTACCAGTAAACCTATTTTCAAAATTTACTCTAAGCGCAAATAAATGAGAGTGAATAAACGCAAAAGCAATGAACATTTCTTAATTCGATATAACTACAGTTTTCTATAGTTGCACATAGTATTTTATGTAAGATATGCCAACTTTGTAAACATAATGATAACACTTTAATTGTTCAACAGAAAATACATCGTAGTTTCATTATTCAAGTTAATATCACTCTAGATTTGAACTTCGACACACCCAGCTATTATGTACCGAAACAAAAAACGATTGGTATTCAATATACTTCAATTTTAATCATTTTTCTTTGAGGATAATTTAATATAATTTATATACGAGTAGTGGTATATATTTTAATGTAAAAATATACCTCCCAATGTATGTCAAGGGATATCTATAAAAATAAAAAAAACACGTCTTGTTTAAATCACTTTGAAGTAATCCATGCTAATTTCTAATGTTAAGTAGTATTTTAACATTCGACATTATTTCTTAGTAAAAAAGAAACTTATTTTGATCCTTAATGAATTCTAGTGATCATTTAATTGCTTTTAACAGCTATTTATGAACTATAACTTACCATTAAAAAAATGTGTTACAGTTGAATTTTTTAAAACTGCCTATTTACTTCTAGGATATGAATGAAAATAAACCGCTTCTAATGATAATTATCTGCTCTTTAGTGACTGACTTCAAGAGGCATTTCCTGGAGTTCTAGTGAGAAGCGGTGACCAGTGAATTTCAACCAGGTCTGTTGTGAGATATCAACTCACTGAAGACAATGGTTGACGGTGGCGTAATTTCGTAGATTGGTTGAAGTTAGGCATTAACACCGTTGGATACCCGCCGGCTCAATGGTTTAGAGGTTAAGCGCTCGCGCGCGAAAATGACAGGTTCTGATTTTGAATCTCGCGGGGCGGGATCATAGATGCGCACTTCTGAGGAATCCCCATACTGGGACAAAATGACCATCCAGTGCTTGCAAGTTTTCTATGGTGATCTGGCTTCAGTTGACTCACGATTTTAATTATTGAAATTACCAAAATATCCACAAAACCCCTTTTGATAATTAAACAATAATCAATTATTTTCCCATCATTCACTGCTTGGTAAGATGACTAATATTAGAAGATAAAACTATATCTGTCTAATAATCTTTCATCTTATTTATTTTGTTTGGTAACTTTAAAACTGTCTGTTAAATGTCAAAAGTTCATCATTATCACCATCATGGTGATTTCGTTGTTGTTGATGAGGATAATTTGTTTATTCAAAGACATTCAAAGATTTGCTGGACATTCTATATTATTTATGAATATATTATTTTTAATTATACAACAAAAGAAAACATAAAAGAAATCAAAAGTAGGTAGTAAAATTTATTTTAATTTCATTAAAGACTTTTACTGGTGTTTGGCTCACCTAACTGGAAAACTTAACTGAGAAATTTTAATTGTCATTCTGTACAACATCTATAGCACTAATTTATTTGAAGTAGTCTTTGATGATGTTATTTGTAATAACCATGAAAGCCTTACAGCTAAAATTTTTAACTCAGTGACCGTAAATTCATCAATATTCTGAAACATGATTTTATTTAAATATTCATTATTTCAGATATCTCATAACACTTAACAATGTAATTATTTGGTAGAATTTTTGTACAATAATTAGTATACTTTTAATCAACAATACACATTTTTAATTATTTTACTTTGTAGAGGGATTACGGGACTATTTTCAAAAATACGGTGAGCTTAGGGAATATATGATTATGCGTGATCCTCTCACAAAAAGATCAAGGTAAAATACAATGTAAAATATATTTATATCTTGCTTATGTTAATATTTATCTTAATACTTATCATGCATTTATAATTATACTACTAATAGTGTATCTTTACAGCCTTCAGGTTCCCAATAGATCAGTGAAGAATATCAGACATGAATATACAGTAATCATGTCTCAAAATCTGTTATAGTAATATATTTTATTGCGATCACAAGTCAATCTCAGTTAGATAGCTATTGAAAACCGACAAACTCTGAAATCTGAGTATTCAACCATTGCCCTATTTAGGTGAATTTGAGGAATATAAAACATAACTTTTTTTCATATTAATTTTAAGTAACTGACTTCTGAATGTTCAGATATAACTTTAAAGCCGAAAAATGTACAAAAAGTATTTAGTTTTTAAACATTTAATCGTTATCCTTAGTTAAACAATGGAACTTGTGTAATCCTTCATTCTTCATAACATTTTAAAAGTTTGTTAGCTCAGCTAAGAACCTGTGGTTATTCTATCTTTTATTACTTGTCCATATAGACTAATATAACAGTTTTCGTAACATAGAATGAAATAGAAACAATTTTTTGAAAGCAGAAACATGAATTATATTTATTAATCATAAAAAAATCCTATTTGTGTAAAACTATGAATAGTAATTCACTAACCTGTTTATTTGATCTACATTTCTTTTCTTATAGAGGTTTTGGATTTATTACATTTTCTGATCCAGTGTGTGTGGAAAAAGTCCTCGAAACAGCTCCACATATTTTGGACTACAAAAAGGTATTGTTTAACGTTTCTGATCAGATTATTTTTGTCATTATAATAATTTTAGTGAGATAAATTATTATGACGTTTTATGGTGTTCATTCTTAAGACAATGGATTTGTAAGCGGTTTCAGTCACCTGAAGACCAGATGTAAATATTGCAGCAGAGTATACCGATTTCCATTCATCTTAAATAAGCATAGAATGTATGTACAGTAGACATCATTTTCATTTAACCACAGGTAATTGAGTCTTATGTTGATTATAACTGACTGAAATAAATAGATCTAACAGTAATATTCCTCTACGTTAACTTGTTCGAGATACCTTATTGTGAACTACATGCTCTAATCACTGTAAATATGATAATAAATATTTGCATGGTGTGTTTGATGATGTTTGTTTAACAAACTGAATAAAGTCAGGTGCTCTTATTTGATAAATAATATTCTCCATAGTTCAATAGGTAAACAGTTACCATTGACAACGAGATTCCTGATGTCAAAATTGTAAGTATTATTAATCTTGGAAGATTTGTAACCAGTTATTTAATGCTTTATGGTTTGAAAGCCTTTCAGATGATTCTCTTTCTAATATATACTACCTTTAGGTTAGACATGTTTCTTATGAGTCAGTTATGTTATGAGAACGTTTCAGTAACCTTGATACTACATTTCCAGAAATCCTAATATACTACTTTATTATTGTTATAGCCACATTTTATAAGTGTCTATGTTCAAAAATGCTTCTAAATAAATTTTATACATAAATTAATTAACTGACTAGTATTTGAATATGTTGGGATTAAAGATGATGTGACTGGATGTTATTCACAAACGTCCCACTCATAGAGACTGTGGAATACATAGATGAACAAATGATTGAAAATAAAAATTGAAACTATTGTTCCTATTAATGTTGTGAAAGAGTTATTACTCAAATTCCCTATGAAGTTCAAATTACTTACTTACTTACTTACTTACGCATGTTACTTCTCGTGGAGGAACATAGGCCACTCACCAGCATTCTCCATCCAACGCTGCCTCATGCAATTCTTTCCAGCTCTTTCCAGTTGTTTTACATCCTTTTCATATCTACTTCCAATTTTCGACGTAATGTGTTCTCTGGCCTTCCTCTTTTCCGCTTCCATTCAGGATTCCATGTTAGGGCTTGCCTTGTGATGTAGTTTGATGATTTCCTCAATGTATGTCCTATCCACTTCCAATGACTTTTCCTAATTTCCTCTTCAGCTAGAAGCTGGTTGGTTCTCTCTTACAAAAAGCTGTTGCTGATGGTATCCGACCAATCGATGTTGAGTATCTTGCGTAGACAACTATTTATAAATACTTGTACCTTCTTGATGATGGTTGAAGTGGTTCTCCAAGTTTCAGCTCCGTATGGTAGAATTGACTGTTTTGACGTTGGTATTGAAGATTCTGACTTTGATATTGGTTGCGAGTTGTTTTGAGTTTCATGTTCTTCAATTGTAGGAATGCGACCCTGGCTTTTCCAATTCTCTCCTTTACAACTGCATCTGATCCTCCTTTTTCATCGATGATGCTTTCCAGGTATGTGAAGGATTCTACATCTTCCAGAGTTTTGCCATCAAGAATGATTGGATTGCTGTTCTCCGTGTTGTCTTTGAGAACCTTGGTTTTCCTCTTGTGTATGTAGAGGCTTTCTGATGCAGAGACTGATGCTACACTGGCTGTCTTTATCTGCATTTGTTTGTGTGTATGCGATAGGAGGGCTAGGTCATCTGCGAAGTCCGAATCGTCTAATTAGTTCTGAGCTGTCCATTGTATTCCGTGTTTTCCCTCAGATGTCGAGGTCTTCATAATGCAGTCGATCACCAGAAGAAGGAGGAAGGGAGAGAGTAAATAGCCTTGTCTGACTTCATTCCTGACTTGGAATGCCTTAGTCAGCTGTCCTGCATGCACTACTTTGCACTGTAGTCCATCGTATGAGTTCCAGATAATGTTGACAATCTTCTCAGGAACTCCGTAGTGTCGAAGAAGTTTTCATAACGTTCTCCTATCTACACTGTCAAATGCCTTCTCATAATCAATGAAGTTGATGTAGAGTGACGAGTTCCACTCAATTGATTGTTCGACGATGATCCGTAGTGTCGCGATTCGGTCTGTGCTAGACCGGTCCTTACGGAATCCAGCTTGTTGATCTCGCAGTTGAGCGTCTACTGTGTCTTTCATCCTGTTCAGCAACACTCTGTTGAAGACTTTTCCTGGTACTGACAGTAGTGTGATCTCTCTGTAGTTATCACACTTGCTCAAATCTCCTTTCTTTGGAATCTTGATGAGGTGTCCTTCTTTCCAATCCATCGCCACTTGTCCCTCCTCCCAAATCCTCCTGAATAGGACATGAAGCATATTTGCACATCTCTCAACATTTTCGTTCTTTTCTCCCAGTCCGTGTCCTTCCATGATCTCTTCATATCCGGTGTTGTCCATTTCAACCTTGGCATTTAAATCTCCCATTAGAATAGTCAGGTCTTTTGTTGGGCACTTCTCGACGATTGACTGCAGCCTATCGTAGAATTGATCTTTAGCGTCTTCATTGTAGTCGTTAGTAGGCGCATAGTATTGGATAACTTCCATTGAAATACCCTCTTTTGTTGTTTTGAAGGAGGCTTTGATGATCCTTGGCCCATGAGATTCCCACCCTATAAATGCACTTCGTGTTTGTTTGGACAGCATCAATGCAACTCCTTGTGTATGTGAGGCATTTTCTTCTTCATGTCCGGAGTATAACAGCAGCTCCCCTGAAGCTAGTCGTTGTTGTCCAACTTGCGTTCAATGTGTTTCACTGATCCCAAGCACTTCTAGGTTGTATCTCCTCATTTCTGCAGTAATTTGGAAGACTCTCCAGGTATCTCACATTGTACGAGCATTCCATGTACCTAAATAAATGGTTGCTCTGGTTATTAGAAGGAGCATCGGCCTTGTGGCTTTCGAAGGAACTCGGCTTTCACTATGAGGTGTCATAACTCTTCTAAATGAATATCTTCTAACTCCCAGGCCAGAGTTTTAATGGTTTGAATTATTTTTTTCTGGTTAGCGTTTTTTAGCGAGTTAGTTTTCTACAGGATGGGGACGCCAACCCCATGCCCAACCCTCCTCCTTTACCCGGGCTTGGGACCGGCAGTAACTCTAGAAGAGCTCTAGGCGGAGTTATGAAGTTCAAATACTAGCTTTTTTTAATATGATGGACATCTTTAAATAATTAATTAAGTATTCATAGAAAGTCTAGGCAAATATCAAAGATTATTGAACTGATCCAAGTAGCTAATTAACTTGCATAATTCAGATTTTCACCTTGTCATTTAAAGTTTCTCTTCAGTAAATATGATACCTGACTAAAAGTTTATTCTCCTTTTAAACGTAATTAATTATGAATAATTATTATTTAATGCACTATGTATATCATAAATTTTCTATATAATAAACTATCCAAACCATAAACTGTGAAAAATATTTTTATTACTAAACTATTTAATTGTATTTTTTTTACTTTTATTTATGATTAATTTCTATTTGTTGCTAAGGTAAAAAAATAATAATTTTCATATTATTTTAATTTGTTTATAATTTTAAATAAATAAAGTCTATACTCTATGGATAACTGTAAAATGGTATTAGATTTCTGTCATATTAAGATCTATTATATAATTATGTTCATATATATTGATAAAATATGTGAATATTATAAACAAACAGAGTAGATTTTAGTTACGTTACATTATTCTTTTTTTCTCGTTATGATATAGACATAAGGATAGGATTTTATATATAGGTATTTATACATAAATATTGATTATGTAAGAGATTACTTTCTTGGTAATTATAACTTTCTTTTAAATTCTTTTATTCCAATTACCTTGACTAATTATCTTAGTCAACATGATACTCAGTCAGTTAGTCAGTCAGTAACAATGTAGAACTTCGTACGTACGCACGTACGTACGTACATCAGTTCGACTTGCCATGCCACATTAGTACAGAGGTGTAGTTGTCGATTCAAATCCCATAGTGGTACAGGTGGTAAAAGTATAATCAATAATCGGAAAAATTAGGGTTTGAAGATGTTATTCAAGGATTATAATCCAGTGAAATAAATTTGGAAGGAGAAAAAAAGAAAGGGACATGAAGAATACAGAAGATTAGAATTTGAGAGAACACAAAGAGTGGATGCACCTGCGCCATGGCAAACGATTTCGGGCCATGTCACTCAAAGTCTTTAATCATCGGTTGCTATCAACTTGCGGATTCCAACCAGGTAGTTTACACCTACCAACATGGCTCAGTCCACTTGTCAGTGACTTCATGGATTTGTGCCATGTTTTGGTCTAGCCGCTCCTAGCTTTCTTCCAACCTACTCCTACGCCATAAAACAGTAATTCGGGGAAGTCGGGGCAGTCGGTGGTTGGGCATACGTACCACGCTTCCCAGCCATCTCAACTGATGAAGTTTCACCCTTGAAAGATAGTAATACATACATTACGTAAAGTGGTATACACTCGTGATTTCTTTTCATTCATTTAAATATTTTTGAATTATTGTCTGAAATTTTAGATTGATCCAAAACTTGCTGTTCCTCGTAAATCTGGTCAAAATACAAAAGTGAGTTAAAATTTCTATCTTAGAAATTAATTATCAGTATAATTTTAGTTTTAATCTGCTTACTTTTTAAGTATTTGTGCGTTTTTTTATTGAGATCATGAACCGATTGATGTTAGACCACCATTTAAAACCTGGAAATACTGGATGGCCGTCTCGTCGTATTGTGAGACTCCACAACGGTGTGTATCCACGATCCCACCTCGTGAGATTTGAACCCAGGGCCTTCAGTCTCGCAGGAGAACTGTTCATGATCTCAGTCAAAAACTTAATAAGTTCCGTAACTATATATTGATAATTATCGTGTGCTCACTAGTGACTAGCTTGATGAGGGTGCTCTCGGAGTTCTTGTAAGAAGGCGTGATTAGTGGAGTTAATCCGTGTCAGGTAGAAACAGATGTCTACCTCTGTACAATGGAAGATGGTCGCGCAATTCCGTGGATTGGTTGCGGTTAGACTTTAACATTATTGGATGCTGGATCAGTGGTTCAGTAGGTTAAGCGTTCGCACGCGAGGCTGAATGCCATGGGTTCAAATCTCGCGAGCAGGATCGTGGTTGTGCAATGCTGAGAAGTCCCACAATAGGACGAAACGGCCGCCTAGTGCTTCCAGGTGTTTAATGGTGGTCTAACATCAATCGGTTCATGATCTCAATCAAAAACTTAATCATCTCCATAACCGCTATACCGATATTGGTATATTATTTATCATTGGTTTTTTTATTAGCTTATACTTACTTTCATATGCATATGACTTTATATTTTACAATAAATAAAAACTTATCATTATAATATTTAATGATCGTTTATTGTTTATTTTTACTGGGAAGATATAGAATAAGCCTAATATGATACATATTCGTATACCAAGTGATAGTAGACAACCACATTATTACTTTCTTATTATTATTATCATTATTATTATTTGTATTAGTATAATTCAAATAGAATTGTGTTTCTGTTAATTTATTTAATTTGTATATCCTTCAAGTGATAGATAATTTATGTGTACTAAATTATCATTTATTTGTCAAAAGGTAAACTATAAAAGAAATACTGCTTTTTGTTTTTACTTTTGGTATTAGAACAATATAAATGGGAAACAATTAACTCTGTTTTTATGATTAGTAAAACTTAAACTAGGCAATTACTTTCCTCTTAAAAAAAAACAAAAAAAAACAAAACAGTAATTGTCATTCACTTAATGCTACCTTTTTATTCTCATCAGATTTTATCTGAGTCTTGAAATTATTCTGAAGTACTAATTTAACCTCTGAATAAATTATGTATAAATTGTATAGGAGGTTTATCTATCTTATACTTATATTCTCAAATACTTGTACATATATTTGCACTGAAATATAAAAGATACAGGTTATTTATCTAATTGAGATCATGAATGGATCAGCGTTAGACAATCATTGGAAACCTAGAAGCATTGGACGACTGTTTTGTTCTAGTATAGGACTCCCTAGCAATGGTCATTCACGATCTTTCACGCATGATTCGTACCGAATACGTTTGATCTTGCACGCGAACATCTAACCTCTAGACCACTGAGCTAATATCCAACGATGTTAATGTCTAACTTCAATCAATCCATATTATTGAGTGACCGTCTTCTTGGGTTGGAATCCCGCGCGTGGAATTGTGGATGCACATTGCTGAAGAGTCCTACACTAAGACAAAACGGCTCTTCAGTGCTTTCAGGTTTCCAATGAATTTCTAATATTGACCGATTGGTGATTTTAATAAAAACCCAAAAATCTTTACAACCCTATCCTGTTAATTATCAATTTAAGTCGAATTAAATCGTGAAAATTCTAATCACATGTTGTTTATTGATAGCAATTGAAAGTCTAAACTGTTTAATATTCATCAACATTAATGAACTAATTTATGATAAAACTATGTACCTCATAAATTGCCTAACTTTCACTTGTTCACTTTTCACTTAATATAGAAAGAAGTAAATCTTTATTTGAACAATACTTTGTCTAATTTACGAATACCTTCAGTTTCATTTAATAAAAAACATAGTTTTTTCTTATCACAAGTTAAAAATATGATTTCTACCAGTTATTAAATTCTTACAATGAACATTACAACAACAAGGAGATTTTTAATTTTGGGAAATTTTTCGTTATACTTAACTATTCTATCTAGAACATAATTTTAATGTTAAGTGAATTGATTTAACTACAGTCCAGTGAATTTCTTCGTTATTATTACAAGTCTAACTTAAATATTTGTCAGCCTGAATTTCATGATATCCCATTACCAGGATTATTAACTCCTTCAGAATATATGTAGTTCTAAAATTATTATATACTGCACAATAAATTACAGTCATGACCATTCACTTCAAACGCCATCATGTTATCCACTTAGCTAGTGAGTTCAAATTGCCACTAGCTTGTGAAATCGGGTGAATTATATATATTGTTATTTAGGCCTTCCCATTTATGTTTAAAATAACAATTGTTCAAAATAAAGTACTAGGCGGTCACACAGCAATTCGATCGATCGGATTTACTTACCACTAAGATTAATGCACAACATTAGTCGCTACAGAGTTATATGTGTAATTGCGTTTGGTAATAGAATCATTTTCCAAACCGAACTACATCATCTGGGTATTCTTTGTCAACAAACATACATTGTGAAAAGAGACCAATTCTTAAAAAGATAACTGACGAAATCACTAATAGTTGGGGCGATGGATCGTTATGTGAAATCCTAATTCTATTTTCGGATAGTTTTAATCACACTATGTGGAACGTATTGGGGACAGAACAGGTTTTACGTAAAGAATCATTCAGCATTACAATATAAATGATGTTCAAAATGTTAGCCATCGAAATCTAAGTCTATAGTTGAATATGTAAATTATCACACTTATATTTGATGATGATTGTTCCTGCTTATTGTTTCGAAGGTACTTAATTTACTAAACTAGTTATTTCCCAACAAATTCACGTAAATACATGTTTTTTTATACTGACATATTTTATCGATCACTAATTTGTTACTTATACTAATTATTGACTATTTTATAAATCCTATTTAACTATAACATTCACTTCGTTATAATAAATATGTTGTGAAATTCACCTGTGGATAACCTAATTTTACGTTATAATATATTTTACATAATCCACAAACTACCATAAAGTAAATGAATTACCGTGGGTAAATTGAAATGTTATTTGAAAAAAAGTTCAAAAAGATAATTAAGTTTTCAGAAAAGGAATTATATAATTATACTATATTCTGTAGTGCACCTGATAGCAGAAACATTAAATTTAGTAACTGTATAGAGAATAGAGGTTTAATAAGCAAAACACTCAACTACGGATCATAAGTTTACTTTTTCGAACCTTATACCAACTGCTTGAATTTGAATTGTTACACTAAACTTCAGACAAACACTAAGTTTCTAAATCGAGACCGAAATCTCTGCATTCGATAAATGCGTTACACTAATCGTCCACAAATATCAGTATATGATACTCGGCTTCAAAACTCTAAACTTCACCTATATTGTATTTAGAACGTAATATTCTCGTGTTTGTTCGATAGACTTCAATTTAAAGTCTTAGTATGAACCAATTCCAACTAGAGAATCATCGAACACCAGAGATCGTGAGATATTTGATTCATCCTAATTTAATAAAGCAACAGTAAAAATTCATGAAGGTCGCGATGCTGACAGAAACATAATTATCAGAAGGGGTTTTGTAGAGATTTTATAGTTGGATTCCTAAATCAATTTAAGCTAGACTACCATGGAAAATCTGGAAGCACTGGATGACCATTTCATTCTAGTATATGACTCCTTAGCAGTGCGTATCAATGATCCCGCCCGCAAGATTTGAACCCAGAACCTATCAGTCTCGCTCGCGAACGCTTAACTTAACATACTTTATTGTTCTTCCTCTAATATTTTCTTATGTACATGAACCATCTCATGAAAAGACTAGTACGCAACCCATTCTGGATAGTTACAATAAACATTAAAGTAGTAATAACAATATTAGTTTTTAATTAATCTTCATACCTTCCCAAGTTTATATTGGTCATCTATTATCATTTCATAATTTCAAATTTAGAGAATTACAATGTATACAGGATGATACTTTTTGAATTTATTCAAATTACATAACCCCATTCATCAGTCAAATATATAAATGTTGTATTTATACTGAATTGGAAAACATCCGATCATCTTTCATTTTAAAAAAATAATGATAAAGAATAAGAATGAATAAGTAGTTTGAATCTATTTTATAAATCTGAACAGCAACAACAACAACAAAAGGTCATTAAATATTTTTATTATTCAAATCATCATTATTATTTGTTTAAGTTGATTTAGCACGAATCAAAAAGTCATTCTCTCGTCAATATTTTTTCTTATGATAATTAATTTTGACATACCAATTGAATAAACTATTAATTACTATGGTAACTTGGTGACCCTAGATAAACAATATGTAATAAATTTTATTAATTCACACTTTATAATTCTTAAACGTTTGTTGTGTTTGTTTTTTTCTTTGTTTTTTGTTGTGTTTTTTTATACTTCGATTGACATTTTGCTTTTATCTAGAGTTTTATGATAAGTTCAATTATTTCATTCATTGATTAAACTGGTGATTGTCGTAGAAGTATCAAATTTTTTTTATAAAAAACAATGTCAATGTTTTGTCTAGCTATATGTGAAATGTTTTCTTTCGTTTTGTTTTTAAGAACACAATGTAAAATAATGTGACTAAAGAAATCCCAGCTTATGATGGACAGAAAAACAGATAATGGTAGAATATAATAATAAACAAATATTATCAATGAATAGAATGGCGCCAGTTGCTAGTGTTTTAAGATGTAATTCATTCGTGAAGGAATGACAATATTGTATTTAAAATAGAAAAGAAATTCTTCTAATGTTATTTAGAAAAGAATAGATAAACGAGTAAAATTTATTAATGAACACAACTTTCACAG